GTTGTACTGTGTGATAGTAGGGCTGTGCGATTATGGCAAAAATCATAATCACGATTATTTTGGTCAATAATTGACATCAGGATTATTAAATACGATTATTCATTGACTTTGAAAACATCAATTTATTGAACTTTAAAAAAAAAATACAAATAATAACTTGAACAGTATCTTATAACTGTTGATTACCCTGAACGTATAATTCAACTGAAAAACCAATAAATGAAATAAATGATACATTTATATTTACATTTAAATAAATAATATCAAAATAATAAATACCAATAAACAAGATCAACAAATATTTTGGAGTTAATTCAACAAGCTACTAAACATATATACATATGATAAATACAAATAAATGAGATCAAATATGTTGCAGTGTCACAACCTAGCAAAGCAAAATAATCGTTTTTTCCGATTATGTTGTTTTCGTAATTGTGGCAGGCCAAATCGTAATTGCGATTAAAATACGATTAATTGCACAGCCCTATGTGATAGACAAACTTTCTCTTCTTTTTAGAGTGTCTCTGGGGGGGATGTACATCAGTCGTCCGTCAGTGAAGGTCGGCCGTTACAAGATGATTAAACACAAGCTGGACAAAGGCAATGATGTGAACCCAAAGAGGTACAGTAAACTACTTGATGTATTTATTTTAATTTGGGAATTTAGGAGCAGATCTGATTTTAGTTTGCATGCAGATTAACACAAATGATGATGTAAAAGAGACCCTGCACTACTTGTTCATAAATGGAAACGGCAGAAACAACACTAACTGTTATGTCAAGTAAAATGCAAAGCTACGCAGCGTTCGGTCATCACTGCTCTGTCTATTCAAAGGTTCAACATGCTGGCCAAAACACGTCAGACCTGGAAGTCGGATGGGATGAACACAGCTGAATACGAGCTGATCTCACGGGAATACATGCCCCTCTACACCAACATCACTGTTAACATCGGCACTGAGGCCGGTCTACATCCCCCTCCACCTCCACATCCTCCAGAAAAAGCTGCAGAAAAACATCCAGAGAAAAAAGCACCTGCCGAAGTCCCAGTCAACGTCCCAGCCAAAATTACAGAAGGCTACACTAACAAAAAGCCAACACAAAAGACTTCTAATCATGTATAACGCTGCCATGACTTCAATGGGATAATCCTATTGGTCGAGCTGTAGGATGCTGTTTTTTCTCCTCAATCACCTGGAGCTGTTTTCACTTTTTGGTCCGTTTTTGGTGGCAGTTCTTTGTGGACAGTGGGACACTGATTTGGGTGATTTAAAAATGGTGATTTTCTTTTTTTGAAAATGAAAACAATTGACCTGAATTTGTCAACCCTTAGATGACGGCTCTCCACCTTGGCTCCTGTTCTATCACTGACTCTTCTTCCAATGGGAGCCACAGTGAAGGGTAAACGTTGGACTCTGTGAGTTTATATATCTACAGCGCTGTGGTCGCTGGCTAAACCTTGTGATGCCTTAGAAGCTTGTTTTGTTTTCCTTCTCTTCACTCGTACATTACATTATTCCGAATATTGGGTTTAATAGAGCAGTAGCTGTAATTTCCAGCAGTCGCACTCGTTTTGTTTGTCCAAATGCCAATGAGTACATGACTGAAGGAGACAGATTCTTGTTTCTAGTTGAGTGTGTGTGAAGCTGCTACAATGAGTGATGAATGAAGGAACTTGAAAATGTTGTTTGTTACTGCTTCTGACTGAACGCTGCACGCACGCCACCTGTCTGCAAATACCTGGGGTCTCGTTTAGAAAGACCTTTATCCGTTTGGTTTCTGCATCAGGTGGACTAAATCCTTCAAATGTTTTCAAAGTTACAGATGCTGTACATTTAATGTCATTTTCAGTGGAAATGCTAACGAGAATAAGAGTTCATTTTACGTCTTGGTTCTGTAAACCAAGGCCAAGGTACAGTTCTATGTAAAGGTAGTGCATTCAATTCAGCCTTTCACATTTCAGCATATGGGATATCTACATTTGATTTTTTGTTATTGTGTGCATTCACCTTTATCCAATAGAGCACCTCTTTGTGACGGTGATCAGTCCTCTGCCTTCAGATGAGCTTGAGATTCACATCAAAATGGAGTCTGTCTTGCTTTAAGAAAATGTTTATTTATCATTTGATCATGTGCAGTGTACTTTACATCTCCTTATGTAGATGTTTCCCCCTAAGAGTGCTGGCTTACTCCCACAACACTTTATATGCAGTCAAATGTTATAATGTATCTTTTGCCCACTTCCTTTCCTTAATCTATACATATCATGGAGAAATGCACTCAAAAAAGTAAAAATATATATATATATAATTTACCTCAGTTCTATTGAAGGAATATTATGATCTTGTTTGTGTTTTGAGAGAATTCTGTGACTTCTTGTTAGGATATGATTCATTAAAACCGCCACAGAATAGTGTCTAAATGGCACTCAATGAAACTGTGTTAAAATTAAGCAGATTATATAATTTCACGGTTTCTTAGCAATATTGCTATAGTCTCACCACAATGTTTATTTTTCTTTTCTGTTCTCCCCTTTCAAACACACAGAAACTATTTGTCCCCGTGTAATTTTCAAGTTTCTCCATAATCTTACTCTGGAAGCCTTCACATCGAAACATCTGCCATTTCCTTTCCACTTGTGCCCGTATACTGCATGTCTGCTCCTCCTTCGCTTCTCTCCACTCTGACAGATTTGATTGTAAACATGCGAAAAAAGAAACAGTCCCCTCTTCCACTGAGAGTGGCTGTACTGGCAGGTGAACAGGCTGAAACCAAAGATGACTGCATGGAAAGCTGTGTCGAGGGATAAAACATTGTGTGTGTGTGTATACTTTGTTGTGAATGATTTCCGTACTACTCTTATGTACATACCTTTCATCTCTTCCTATCAATACTTGTATGTTGTTCAAAGAATCTCACACCAACATGTATTCAAAACACTCATAATTTACGGTTGTTTATTTTTTGTGAAGAGATGAAGATGGTCCATGATGATTACAAGTGATTTATTTTCTGAATGCTGTACTGAGAACTTATTTTTTCATCATGACATTGGGCATTTGTCCGTGTTAGTGGACGAATTTGAGCTCTGAGAGTGTCCGCCTGTGATTTTCATAATTAGATGACTATATACTGTATTATCATTTTGATGTGACTTCATATTCGACTCCTATGGCCTTAGCAACACATAATAGTGGTATTTCAACTTGTGCTCACTAATACAATAGCATCTTTATATCAAGACTTAATATGCATGGCAACAAACCTATTAGCGAGGAAGTGTACCGAGCACAATGTGAAGATGATACATATCAGTGCTCCTCTAGAAAAATATGAAGCATGCTGAAGTGTCTATGTTGTGAACTGGAAACGTTCTTATTGTGACTGTCAATGCAAGTTTCTGCTGTGGGGAATGCTCCTCACTGTTAAATGTAAGGATTAAAGTAGGGCATTTCTCAGAAAGATGTACAAAGGAAGTTTATATTCCCAAAGTCACAGCATACAGTCTCCATCATCAACTGCAACACTCAACCTGATGTTTTGTGTTTCTGATTTAAGCTACTTTACGTTTGATTTGACTCCGTTCTGATGTAGATCAGCAGCAATAGAAAGCAGTCATCACAGGGTAGCACTGAAGTAACCAAGAGCAACGTGACTTTGTGAGTTATTTCTGCTCTTTATGAATTCTGCACAGTCCAGAGTGGCCTTAAATTCATTAATAAACTGATTATTCAAAAGCAATGCTTCACATGTTTTATTTTTCAATCGTTTTTTTTTGCAACTTACGTTTATCGTGCATCTCTTTGTACAATTCCTGTAACACCATTGCTGTCAAAGCTAGCCGTCTTAAAAAGGATTATCACATGGTATTAATATGTGAGGGTGATGACAACTCTATGACCTAATAGATGTATCACTTAGTGGGAAACGACAACACCTTTCCCACTAAGTTGTACATGAGGCCAGGAATGTTGTCAAGCTGGAAAGTAAACCCACTTGGTTAGATTTTTCTTTCTCTTTCTTGGCACAATATTATAAAACTCTTCATATCACAAGAGAAGGTAAACAGGTTGTTTTATCTGACAGACAGTATACCAGATAGAGTTAAGAAAAGTCATCAATTGTCACCCAACATGTTTTGAGTTCTCTTTAAAACTTCATAAGTATATTGAGTATTTTACACTCTGGGATTATTTAGCATGAAAGGTTTCAGAGTATGAATGTCCATTAATCAGTTCAAGGCAAGCACATTCAAACTTTCCAAGAATATAAGTTTAAATAATAACAATCACAATGGGAAATAACTTTGTTGACCTGACTTTCAATCTAGCACTATTTATACAATATCTCAACAACTTCGGTAGCTACTTGCTTTAAGTTAAACAGGAATATAGTATGATATACAGCTCCAGATACAGACAACTGAGAAAACAGTCCACACCGACTGTGGCTGTCCTTATTTGGATAGTTTCTGTGAACCTCAAATCACCTCTGATATGTCTGAATATCTGATGTCAATATTAGAGAAAGCTAAAATACCAATTTGAATGAAAACAATGTATTTGGTTTTGTGTGTCTGAGTAGTCAGTAAGCTGACACCAGTAGTTTCTTATATAGATCAGCAGCTTCTTTGTTACCAAGGAAGTCATTTAAGGAAGTGAAAATGATGGCTGAAGCAACTCAGCTGAAAGGATTGTTTTAGCTGTATTTCCTTGTCTTACATTGTAAATACCTTGAGTGCATACTGTTGGCAATGATAAGACAAGACACAAAAACATCACTTTTGGTTCTGGATAGACGCATAGTGGCTGATAGGAGCTAAAATTGTCAAAGAATACCTATACTCAATAATGACCTACAGGCAGTGGCGGTTCTAGACCAATTTGACTGGGGGGGGGCCAGGCTGGGGCCAGTTATTTTCTGAGAGGGGCACAATAAATGCAGGACGAAAAAGACAAAGACAGTATGAATTAATTGCGCATAAGAAAACAATGCAATACAGTTATTGGTACACATATTTATTTCAGATACTTATAGTTACAGTTTTTACTACTAGAATGACAAATAACGTTAGTTCCGCCTATTCCGTCAGCCAATAAATCGTTTAATCATAAACTTTTCATTTTCAGGGGGGCCACAGGGGGGTCAGTGTTAAAAGTTACCAATTTGAACCAAGACATTTAGGCCAAAAATATGTTCCTCTACAAATCCAAGTTTAGTGGCTTTGGGCTGAAGTGCAAAGAGCTTTTCATACAAATTAAATAAAAAATGATAGCCGAGCTATGGATGGAGTGCCAAAAACGTCTTTGTCCTTACCCAAACTGATCCACCAAGATTCATTAAATCATTTAACAAGTTTGTTTTTTAACAAACAAATAACACTGCACATTTTCCTAACCTGAGACTGTCTTGATCCATAAATGAAGTATGTAGCTTGTATGTTTAGCCATAGAAGTCACCAATTTAAGACCTAATAAAAAACAGCAAAAAACAGTATTATTTTATAGTTTGCTCCTGGCCCATGTTGTCTTACTCTGATTTCAGAAACCATTTTAGTTTACAGCGATCAACTATAGTTTTCTTGCTTCTTTTCATTACAAAAAACCCTGAATCCGCCTCTGTAATTGAGATATCAGGATTTATTTATATACAAAACCATACACATAATGTACGAGCCATGTTCACAGTGTTATGCATTCAGATACTGATAAAACATTCACAGATGGTTGTTCGTGCCTGCAGATATCTTTTTCTTGCCAAGTAAATTAGATATCAAACAAATTCCTAACATGACTGAATAACTTGTTACAGCAGAACCAAAGCCTCTTCTCTATGTTTCCTCAAAACCATTTCAACCTATCATTTATTTTCATTTTCGTATTTATGTGTGCAAAAAAACAAGCACCTGTAGTTTCATCCCAGTTTACACGTTGATTCATTGGAAAAGTATTTAACATGCTCTCTTAAAAGATACCAAAAGCTAGGTGACCCTGCACTAATCGTTGAACCAGCACATTCAATCCTTTTATAGGAGCTACTGTACATTATCTGCCAAATAAGAAATCCCTTTATTCTATCTTGCTATTATACTTGACATCAACAAACTTGACCATCTGTCCACCCTCAGTCACCACCTCCTGCTTCCATGTTTGAACCTCCCTGTTTTTAATCTCATAGCTCTGCGTCACCACCCTTCCTGTTGTGGGCAGGTGTCTGGGCAGGTTCTGGTCAGCACCTTGGAAAAACTTCCCTTTCATGAGGTCTTCGGTGCGCTCAGTTCTGCCTGTCGGGACCAGACCCTGGTTTTTGTTCTTGTCCTCCGTCCTATAAGGGGAAGGAGGAAGGGGCATTGCTGCTCGAGGAGGCGGAGCTTTGAACTCTGGTTTCGGTGAGCGCTCCAATTTCAGTGGCGATTTCTCCATGGTCATTGGAGATGCACCTCTGTGACCAGGTGCTGGAGACAGTTTTCCGACACTGATGTGAGGTGTTGCTGGCTTAAGGTAATCTTTTTTAACGGGGTTATTGCCTGGACCTCCGACCCTTTTTATCTCACTCATGACCCCACCCATGGAGGCTCTCAGATTAGGGTCGGGATCCACCATCCTACACACAACATGGCAGTAAGGCTGATCCTTCAGGATATCATTGATCTTAGCTGGACAGACGCTGGGCGTGTACAGCCGGTCCCGGGCACAGAGCTCGGCGATGATTTTACCCATGGCCCACACGTCTGAGCGCTGGTCCCTCTGACTGCCCCTCTGCAGAACCTCAGGGGCAGAGTACGCCTCATTCCCCATGTCTTTGGCAGAGTTTTGACCAAACCGGAAGAATTTAGCCAATCCCAGGTCGATGATGACCGCTCTGTTTGTGTCATGCTCCACCTGAAGGACACATGAACTTTATTTAATTGATATTCTTACAAAATTAAAAAACAATTCACAGAGATTTAAAAGTGGATAGACGTGCAATAAGGCCGTCATTCGGTTTCAGCTACTGCCCAGTGATTACAAGTATCATGGAATAGTCTACTGCCATACTAGTAGCTCCACCAGTTTAGCTTGTTAGCATGGTATTCTTGTTTAGTGAGCATTTAACGCTAAGTCAATCTGAGGCTGCAGGTATTTAGTCATATTAAACAAATTAAACATTAGACCTAATGATGTAGCTGGATGAAAAGTTAAGGGCTCACCAAAGTTATTACAAGTTATCCTGAGGGTTTTTTAAAAGCGTGTATTAAATCTCATGTCAGTAGTTGGTAAGACGTTTTATTAACATCTGGAAATGTGAACTTCATCGTGGCGCAAGAGGAAATGTCAGGCATTGAGCAAAATCATTAGAATTAGTTCTTTAAGCTCCATGGATATCTCTAATAAAATGTAATGTCATCTTATAGTTACATATTCAGTCAGGACTAAATGTCCCCTGTAAATCTCTGTTGTGTTGTGCATGCTGACAGTCTGCACAGGCCTCCACTCACCATGATGTTTTCAGGCTTGAGGTCTTGATGGACAATATTTTTGATGTGAAGGTGTTGCAGCCCTTCACACATGCCGGTGATGATAGTTCCTTTGATAGACGGAGTCAACTGCAAGAGACAGACATTTGAGATCAACTTTAACCAGACTGGCATCAAGTATGAGCCACATTAGAGTCAAATCCACTTTTCTCACATTAGGTTACATCATTTCCCTTCAGGCCTCAATAAAACTGCTGTTCTGAAGAATTGTGAAGCTATTGTTTGTTGACATGATAACTTTACCTTTATTTTAGATTGTGCTTCTTTAAAGATGGTGGTCTCCAAGTCTTCTCCAAAGATAAACTCTAAAGGAATAATCCATTTTCCGTCTTTGAGATCTATTTTCCCCAGTAGCTTCACAATATTTGGATGACTTGCCTTCCTGCAGATCAGTGGTGGAAAGTCATGGAGAGACAGAGAAAAAGACAAATAAGATCAAATTAAGAACCAACTAGATACTTACTGGGTACCTGTATAGAGGGTAATTGTGTTTAAGAGAGACCTAGAAGTAAAAGACACACACATCAGAGATTCTTTTTTCAAAGAATGGTTCACATATTTTGGTTGGAAGATAACACCAACAATTGTTATGGTTATTAAACTGTGTGTTATATTATCTATATAGTGGCTGTAAATGGTATGTCTACTTTTGTCTTTTTTGGTATTGGAAAAGAGTTGAGTCTCAAGAATTGCAACTTATTGCATTATAAGGTATACACTTACATTATTATATATTTGTATTTATTTCTCTTTATCTTTTTATATCCTGCTTGGCTTTCTTTTGAGTCTGCAAACATAACTAAATCATGTGTACTTACTTGTACACTTCAGTCTCTCTATCCAGGTCGTACTTGCTGATGAGGTCTTGTGGGACTTTCTTTATAGCAGCCCAGGTATCGTTGTACTTCTGCTTGTAGACCTTCCCAAAACAGCCTTCTGCGATTGTTCTGGTGGAGTATGCCATCTAGTAGATAGGAGGTAGATTGTGAGGGCATTTTGACAATAAATATGTACAACCTCAAAACATTTAATTACAGGGGACTGAACTGCAGAAAAGCTGCACTTTTGGCAGTTTGGTTAAGAACATGTTCAACATATTTTTTTAGGCTTTCAAAAATGAAGATGTTTTAGATGCTGTTCTATAGTCTGTTTGTGAGCGCTGTTCCTGTTGGCCAATGAAGGTTTTCTTGTAAATGTTGCTGGGATTTTTGGGACTTTCCTCTTCATCACTTTGCGTACTACTTGCTATGTGTTTGTTGTTTTGACTGTGCTACAAGAACAGATCAAATAACAGCAAGGGCAGAATATGACATTTCAAATAAGGATTTTTTCAGATACCTGCAAATTAGGAACGTGATCCAATCAATTATTAAAAGCAATAAATTGAGATCGGGATTGTTAGAAGAGGAGGAGATATTGATGTCATCGAGCACGATCAAAGGTAAAATTAGTGAATTTAATGCAGTTTTTTCTAAAAGAGCTCAGTCATCATTTCTAACTTTAAAAAAGATCTGGGAAAAGGACTTAGGGATACAGATAGATGAAACTACTTGGCTGAATATTTGTGAAAGAACACATTTTCCATTCACAAGCAATAAAATCAAAGAAGCAAACTTTACATTTATCAACAAATTTTACCTCACACCCATAAAGATGCATAACATTTCCAAAGAAAACTCTCCAAAATGTCCGAGATGTAAAATAAAAGAAGGAACATTTATGCATCTGTTTTGGGATTGTGATCTCTTGAAACATTTCTGGGATTCGATTCATGCTCTCACAAAAGCCGTTTTAGACATGGAAATTAGCCTAAATCCATGTTTTTTCCTGTTAAATGACATGCCAAACTTTAAACTGAACCCAAAACATTACAGAATACTAATCACAATAACATATTTTGCCAAGAAATGTATACTTTTATTCTGGAAGAATGAACGTCCCCCAACATTTAAACTTTTCATTGATCAGATAACACATTTTTTACCTCTGGAGAAAATGACATTGGAAAAATATAATCGTGGACATATTTTTCAAGCTTCAAGGTTGCCATTGTTTTCTTATTTGGAAAACATATCTGAGATATGACCAGTGATGGAATGGTGCATTCTGTGGCTATTTGTCCTGACGGCCGGAAATACGTGTTATGGTGTTGTCATTGTCTACATTGTCACTGTATTGTATAATTATTTGTATTGTATAATTATTTGTTTGTTTTACTTGTTTGGTTTTTATTTTATTTTTTATTTATTTATTTTTTGGTTCTATTTTTTTTCCTTTTCCTTTTTATGTTTATTTTCATGGCTCTGTTGTTTAAGTTATATTGATAAGCATTTTTTGGTTTTGCCTGTGCGGGTATGTGTGGGTGGAGGGAGGGAGGGGGGAGTGTAGTGAGTGTACTGTGATATTACAATATAAATGAAATGGCATCGATTATTGTACACTATAATGAAATAAAAAGACTTGGAAAAAAAATTAAAAAAAATTAAAAATAACAGCAAGGTTAAGATTATGTTATCTTGACAAGCAAACAGACGACTCATGATAAATTGAATTCCAATCCGCGTTGTACATCAGGTACATTTTTAAGGTTATTAAGAGAGCTACCGAACTAAATCAAAACAGTCTACAATAGTAGAAAGCACTGAGTTTTCTTCTAAAATGTTATACTTTTGGTTAATGTTGCCATTTTACACTACTTAATTACTACTATCTTGATTCTTAAGATAGTTTCTTTAAAGATAAATCTTGAAATACAAATATAAGAGTATTCAATTCAATATTAGATGTGTACCCAAGTGAAATAAGACTTAATTGCAAATAAATTATAACACTGACAAATGTTACTACTGGTAGTTTTCATCCAGGCATCTTTCAGCATGAATGGGCCTGTCAAAGAAATTGGATCAAAATGTTCAGTAAGGGAGTGTCAATGTTATTTAGTTAGGCTGTGTGCTTGTTCTCCTTGTTGAGGATTTGGATCAAAACCACTTTTTACCGCCACACATGTACCCAGCACAGTACACACATTTAAGTGTAGCCTCTGCATTTAACCCATCAGTTCAGTAGGAGCTAAAATCGCTAATCGCTAGTTAAAATCTTAACCAATGTTTAAATCACTTAACACAACTAAGCCTGGTCTGATCTAAACATACACGTTTATCTTTTTTAAGACAGAAGAGGGGCCTCCAGTGAAAAGACTTAAAGCAACTTAAGTCCTTGATCATTTTGCAAATCATTTTGAATTGGAATAAAAAAGGTACCAGTACTCTAAATCAGCAACTGTTTCAAGTACATTTTATTTATACAGCCCAAAAACAAGAATTTGGCTCAAAGGTCTTTACAATCTGTGCAACATACGACTCCCTCTATCCTTATCCTCATATCTTTGATTCAGTAATTAAAAAGAAACACAAAAAAACTTTAACAGACAAGGAAAAGTAAAAAAAAAAAAAGTACTGTAACGTCCAGAAATTGCCTGTTTTTCCACAACTAATCAGGGAGGTGTCCGGGGCTCTCATAGAGAACATGACGTAGCCTATACATGTGCCTGCATCAGGTCATATAGTATCCTATAATGCTGGTGGGTTTGTCTCTTTACTGTATATTTTAGAAAAGCTCACTGTACTTAAAAAAAAGTATGAAAGGCAGCGGATATGGCTAAAGCCTGACTCCTACTGGCGGTTGGTTAAATGACTCCTCGTCCCTGAGTACACTCATGCATCTTTCAGCAGTAAAGGAGAGAGGGAATCAATGGAGCTGCCAGGGAGGACACATGCGTCATGAGGTGCCTGTACGCAGTAAGAAGTAACGGTACGCAGATGGGTACAAATCAGAAGTCCCGGTACTGCGTACCGGTGAGTACCGGCCCAATTCAAGCACTGGGTTAATCCACAAGAAAGTTTATATTTCTATTATCCCGGACACAATATTTGCTCATACATGTGTCATACTTATGTTCCTAACTAAAAGATTTAGAAGGAATACTCATACTTTAGTGACTGACGTCTCACAATGTACAGACGGAGGGAGTACTGCGACTAGTGAACTAGTACATTCTGTTATGTTTCTTAACATCTTATATCTGGTAGTTGAGGTTCTCTTTACATATGTTACAAAAAGCCGTTAAGGTGCTTACCTTTCTACTGAAGAGGGAATCCTTCCTGCTGTGGAGGGAGAGCAGGTCTGAACAAAAGGGAACAGGGTTGCTTCTCTTTGTACCTGTTTGTCCACACCTCCTTGGATCTGAGTCATGGCCTTCCAAGGAATCATCTATTCCTGAGTAATAGCTCAGAGATGACAGGCATACTGTACGAATGTAGTGTTCAACCAATGAGAATACAATCATTTGTCATAAACAAAAGGACATGTGACTGCATGGATGATGTTGCATATACAAAGCCCTGATAAAGGGGAATTTCCAAACTGATGACCTGGTGGTGATATGGAGGCAACACCAATTATATAAAATTAAATATAGTAGACTTACAGTATGTGAGAGTTGTGGACAGATTATTAAATGATGGGCCTATAAGGACAAAGAGGATGGGTCAGATTACTTACTAACAAATTGAACTTACTAATGTTCTTACACAATAAAGAAATGTAATCTAATGTGAGCACTTTATCATTTAAAATATTGCAATTAATACAGTACTTGAAAAGAATGGACGCAGCCACAAAACTTTGAGCACCACAAATATTATATTTTCAGTTTTTATATAAAAAAACATTTTCAACCCAAATCAAATTCATGTTGCATTTTTAGCATTAACAGATATTCAAATCAAATTCCCATTAGAGAAACAGGACTAGCACAAACTGCAGGTGTGCTGTGCTGATTCTACAAAATGTCACTTTATTTATCATAAGTGTTGCACTGATATGCTTGGTATCCAGAAGACACATCCTATTGATGTTCATGTCTCCCAAAACTACTGGATACCTGTCAGATTGGACTGCATATCAGAAGACTGTGTTAAAGGATTGTGAAAGGATGTTAAAGGCTATGTTTGTGCTGTCTTGGTCTGTGCAGTGACTCTCACATGGTCAGAGCAAAATCGGTTCATTTTTTAATTATTAATTTATTGAGATTTCTCCTCCAATTTTGCATTCATCTGTCCTTGTATGAAGCGCGTGGGTGTCGTTGTTTTTTCACCAAAAGTTGTATTAGCTCCACACCCAGTTCAAGTTAAACACGCCCTTTTGTTCAACCAGCTGACATTAAACAAACAGTAAATGTATGCTACTGTGATCGGCAGGCAGTATTAGTCAGTTTCCAGATGAGAAATGTATCCGAGGGCTTGTTCAAAGACTCATATTTAAATGGTAATGTCTCGGCACATCAAAAAGCTGCCGAGGCAATACCAGCTTCCTGCTGAACAGTTCGTCACGCAGTCCTTAAAAGACGTCTTCAATTCACTTCAAGTTCTCGTTTTCATCTTTATCTTCTTTTTACATCTAAACACATAAGCCTCACAATAATATTGTATGACTTTTGCTTTTTATTTTTTACATCAGACATATAGTATTAGTACTCTGGGCTATTGTTGTTACAGTGATAATAGGATCTCTAAAAAGTGTGGCTTGATTGAATATAAGTGTGAGTCGTTTTTGTTTTTTTAAACAATATTTTGCTGTTTTTCTTCGCTTTAGAATTTCACTGGGGACACATGAAATCAGCACTTGTCATACTGGAATCAGCATTTTTTAAATAATTGATATGTGTTTTTATTTGACCTCTGTATTTTTTTCTTTATCTATAGTGCAAAACAAGAAACAAACCTTTTTCAAAAGTGAAAGTGTTAGAGGACGAATCTGAGCTCTGACAGTGTCCACCTGTGATTTACATAATTAGATGACTATATACTGTATTATCATTTTGATGTGACTTCATATTCGACTCCTATGGCCTTAGCAACACATAATAGTGGTATTTCAACTTGTGCTCACTAATACAATAGCATCTTTATATCAAGACTTAATATGCATGGCAACAAACCTATTAGCGAAGAAGTGTACCGAGCACAATGTGAAGATGATACATATCAGTGCTCCTCTAGAAAAATATGAAGCATGCTGAAGTGTCTATGTTGTGAACTGGAAACGTTCTTATTGTGACTGTAAATGCAAGTTTCTGCTGTGGGGAATGCTCCTCACTGTTAAATGTAAGGATTAAAGTAGGGCATTTCTCAGAAAGATGTACAAAGGAAGCTTATATTCCCAAAGTCACAGCATACAGTCTCCATCATCAACTGCAACACTCGACCTGATGTTTTGTGTTTCTGATTTAAGCTACTTTACGTTTGATTTGACTCCGTTCTGATGTAGATCAGCAGCAATAGAAAGCAGTCATCACAGGGTAGCACTGAAGTAACCAAGAGCAACGTGACTTTGTGAGTTATTTCTGCTCTTTATGAATTCTGCACAGTCCAGAGTGGCCTTAAATTCATTAATAAACTGATTATTCAAAAGCAATGCTTCACATGTTTTATTTTTCAATCTTTTTTTTTTGTGCAACTTACGTTTATCGTGCATCTCTTTGTACACTTTCTGTAACACCATTGCTGTCAAAGCTAGCCGTCTTAAAAAGGATTATCACATGGTATTAATATGTGAGGGTGATGACAACTCTATGACCTAATAGATGTATCACTTAGTGGGAAACGACAACACCTTTCCCACTAAGTTGTACATGAGGGCAGGAATGTTGTCAAGCTGGAACAAGCTGGAAAGTAAACCCACTTGGTTAGATTTTTCTTTCTCTTTCTTGGCACAATATTATAAAACTCTTCATATCACAAGAGAATGTAAACAGGTTGTTTTATCTGACAGACAGTATACCAGATAGAGTTAAGAAAAGTCATCAATTGTCACCCATCATGTTTTGAGTTCTCTTTAAAACTTCTTGATTATATTGAGTATCTTACATGTTGATGACAATTTGTCTGTTTACATAATACCTTCTATAAGATTATTTTGCATTAAAGTGTTCAGAGTATGAATGTCCATTAATCAGTTCAAGGCAAGCACATTCAAACTTTCAAAGAATATAAGTTTAAATAATAACAATCACAATGGGAAATAACTTTGTTGTTGACCTGACTTTCAATCTAGCACTACTTATACAATATCTCAACAACTTCTGTAGCTACTTGCTTTAAGTTAAACAGGAATATAGTATGATATACAGCTCCAGATACACAGACAACTGAGAAAAAAGTCCACACCGACTGTGGCTGTCCTTATTTGGATAGTTTCTGTGAACCTCAAATCACCTCTGACACGTAACAATGGATGCTTTTAAACGTACAATGTGACTGGTTAGATGATTTAATGAGACAACAAAGACAAACTGTCAATATTAGAGAAAGCTAAAATACCAATTTGCTATTTGACAGAGTATTTTTAGTGTTGATGCTTTAAGACACACTTTGATTACTATTTGGTGGGCGCAGCGCCGTTAACCAAAACTAAAGGATGGACTGTTAACACAGTGCTTATGGTTTTAAAAACAGGTCAGTAGAATGAAAACAATGTCTTTGGTTTTGTGTGTCTGAGTAGTCAGTAAGCTGACACCAGTAGTTCCTTATCAGCAGCTTCTTTGTTACCAATGAATTAATCTAAGGAAGTGAAAATGATGGCTGAAGCAACTCAGCTGAAAGGATTGTTTTAGCTGTATTTCCTTGTCTTATCTTGTAAATACCTTTGGGTGCATACTGTTGGCAATGATAAGACAAGACACAAGAACATCACTTTTGGTTCTGGATAGACGCATAGTTGTCACATCCTGGCCCTGGCTGATCGCCTCACTCCCTCACCTGTGTGTTTTTCCTTCCCTGTTAATCACCTGCCTGGCCTCAATGAGTCTCAGCTGTCCCTAATCATTACTCATCACCTGTGTATTTAGTCTGTGCTGTTTCCTTGGTCAGTGCCAGTTCGTCTTGTCTGTATAGCAGCAAGTGCTCCATGTTACTCTCCTGACGTAAGCTATTGTTCTAGCTGCTTAGCATTTTTACCAACCTAGTTGGTTGTTTTTTGTTGTTGCTTCTTTAGTAGTTTTCCGTAGTGATGACGAGATGAAGCCTCATGAAGCTTTGAAGCTTTCCAGCAAATCGGTTCGCTAAAAGGTTCATCTCATGAAGCTTCATCATGGGCTTCATGTGCTCACAAGACCCCCTGTTGGTGAACAGGTGTAAAACAGCCACATATTATTTGTAATCTTTGACATACTAAAAATACTGGAAATAATGATACAAAAAGGTAAAAGATGTCAAATGTATTTGTCATCCTGTATGAACAGAATTTTACACCAGTAAGTGTTTTAAAATGACTGTATATAATAATAAAAACAATGTGTCAATATAGTATCTTGTTGTTACATCTATACATAAATAAATGTAAATGTCTGCTGCCTTCTATAAAGACAAAAGAAGCAATATATGTTCGAAAACTGGAAAAGAACAAGGGTTTAACTTGCCAGAGGGCAGTGAATATGCTTGTGTAACTTGCAGAGGCCAGTGAATGTGCTTGTGTGACTTTGCAGAGGCCAGTGAATGTGCTTGTGTGACTTTGCAGAGGCCAGTGAATGTGCTTGTGTGACTTTGCAGAGGCCAGTGAAAATGCTTGTGATACATGGAACAATTTTATTGGTTTTTGTTTAAAAACAATATTTTTTCCACACTTTTCGGGCTTAGGCGATTTCTTTTCTTGGACACAACTTCTCCTGCCTTTGAAAATACCCTTTCACACGGGACTGAGGAAGCAGGTGTGCACAAGAAAGTTACAGCAAGTGTATATAAGTTTGGATACACATGTCTTTGTGTCTGCCAGTAGTTCAGAGGGTCCTCCAAGCGTCCGATATTTGGTTCAGCCAGGTACCGCTGGACTTCAACAGTTGCGTCAGCTGTTGGATTCTTGGTCTTTCTGGACAGCTTTACAGTCCGATCCAATTTTTGCCAGAGTTTGTTTCCTGAAAAGTATACACAGAGAGTGTCAGTGGATGTTGTAGTAATTACTTCAAATTGATTTAAAATTAATAAAATTACCTGGGATTTCTTGTTCAGGTTGAGATGTGGATGGATTTTCTTCTGGCTGCACATCTTCAGGTGTTCGGATCAGTGCACCACATTCAGCCACAAGCCTTTTTGTGGCTTCTGCAGCTTTTGAAGGGCTAAAAAACCCGATCAATTTGAACCTAGGGTCCAGTAGTGTTGCCAATGACATTATGCTCATTGATTGGAGTGTGTGGAGCCTCTCTCTTAGCTGCCTTAATAGGTGTTCTCCCATTTCTTTTGCCACTGCTTCTGCAGTTTTTGCCATCTCCTCTTGAAGCATTTGCTCCAGCATTTTGAGGAGGGGCACAACCTTGGACCCGGATACATTTTTCTCCTCAGACAGCTCAATGGTGGCATCATTGAATCCGGACAGCAGAGAGAGGCACCCACTTATGGTGGTGAACTCGGCAGAGGTCAGTGTGGTGATGTCAGTGTTCAAGCTGGCTAATGCCGCACCAACTGGCTCTCTGAGGTCCACCAGACGTTGCAGCATGTGATATGTGCTGTTCCAGCGGGTCTCCACCTCTTGCAGGAGCTTCAGTGTGGGCCTTCCCATTTGCCTTTGCACCGATACAAGCTTCTCCTTTAACACACAATTAAAGATTTATTTAATTGTCAAAGTAGCAGTAACAAACATAGCATTATGATTATTATTAATTATTAACCAATTTAAGAAAGGTCAAAGCACATACCTTAGCAAGGGTGCTGCTCCTGAAAAATCCCACCAGTTTTCTTGACTTGGCCCGGATATCACTCAGCACAGGGGTCATGTCAAGAGATTTTTTGACAATCAAATTCAGTGTATGTGCAATGCATATTGCATGACGTAGCTTTAAGTGTTTGCCACAGGAGATCATATTGGCTGCACCATCCGTCACAAGGCAAGTGACCTTGTCTGTGATTCCCCATTCCTCCATGAGGGAGGTTTTCACTCTGGCCAGGTTTTCAGCAGTGTGTGTTTGGGGAAATTGTTGGACCCCTAACAACACAGAATTAAGACGTGTGTTGTCGTCAACAAAGTGGCAGGTTACAGCCAGATAGGCATCCATATTGATGGAGGTCCACATGTCAGAGGTCAAGCTCACTGCAACCACCTTCTGCATGTCAGCTATGGCCTTGCTCCTTTCTAGAGCATACTTGGCCTCCACCATAGCCTTAACAGCCTAAAAGAGGGGATGGTTAATTCACTGGTTAATTGTCAAATGCCATGAAAAAATAAACAATTTTGCTCTATACATGAAGTCTTACACACCTGTCGCTTGGGGATGACATAGTTTGGATCCAATAAGGCCACAAATGCCCTGAATCCCACATCCTCCACAACACTGAATGGCTGTGTATCCTTCACAATCAGGTTGACCAAGGCCTCATCCAGATCCTGTTTTCTGGTAGGCCTGGTACCTGGGGGGGGGGGGGGGGGTAAGCTGTGTTAAGAATGAGTATCTTGTAACTTTCTTTTATTTGCATGATAAAGTGAAGTTAACATGGTTAAATTATAGTATATTATAGTATATTATTCCAAAATATTAAATGACAAACCTTGAGCAGGTCCACCTGCATCACCTGCATGTCCCTCCTTCATCTCATGCATGGCACGATAATGCCTTAGCATGGATGAAGTATTGTTACTGTACCCCAGTTCCCTGGAGCACAATAAACACTTCACCTTTGAATGAAATAGAAAAAGTAAAAAAATGAACCATACAAAATCTAACATAATACATTGTTGTAATAAACCATGTATGCAAACCTTACCTTATTGTGTGAAATCTGATCAAAGTATTCCCACATAGGGGAAGTCTTTCTCTTCTTAGCTGGCTCCATTCTAACTTTGCAAGTAGCAAAAATATCGTACAACCAAAACTGGCAAAACGACAAGTGTTTTCCTCTCACAAGGATCACACATCTTGAATCGAATCCCATGGCTTTTTATCTGTCAGAAGCTCGCGCCAAGATCTGAATCGCTTCCTGAAGCAGTCACGTGGTATCGACAAACGAGGCTTCGTTTGTCATCGATGACGTCACTGGCCCCCAAATGATACAAGCCTCGACACAGGCTTCACAGAAAGCTTCGGCGATTACTCGACACACGCTCCGAAGCCTCGGCTTCATCTCGTCATCACTAGTTTTCCGCCAACTTGTTGGTTGTTTTTCGTTCCTTCCAGTCTTTACATTTTTGGACCTTTGCCTGTATTTGCCTTTTGGATTAAACGCCTGACTAAAGACCTTTTTGCCTGGTTGTGCTCTTGAGTCCTATTTTTGCTCGTGCCCATACTTGGGCTTGATAATAGTGGCTGATAGGAGCCAAAATTGTCAAAGAATACCTACATTATACTCAATAATGACCTACAGGTGATATGCTATCAAGTTGAGCTGGGTTGCTGTTGTCTAAATGTGGTGGCATTTTCATATTGTGTTCAAGAGTTTAAAAGTTACCAATTTGAACCAAGAAATTTAGGACAAAAATATGTTCCTCTACAAATCCAAGTATAGTGGCTTTGGGCTAAAGGGCAAAGAGCTTTTCATACAAATTGAATACAAAATAGTATAGTCGAGCTATGGTTGGAGGGCCTAAAACGTCTTTGTCCTTACCCAAACTGATCCACCAAGATTAATTTAATTATTTAACAAGTTTGTTTTTAACAAACAAATAACACTGACATTTTTATCAACCTGAGACTGTCTTGATCCATAAATGAAGTATGTAGCTTGTATGTGTTGGGGAATAATTTGCCCTGCATGTCCTCCTTCGCCCTCTGACGCAGCTGACCAACCTTGAGCAGCCATTATCTCCCATACTGCTCAAGGTTGGTCAGCTGCGTCAGAGGGCGAAGGAGGACATGCAGGGCAAATTATTTCCCAACACATACAAGCTACATACTTCATTTATGGATCAAGACAGTCTCAGGTTGATAAAAATGTCAGTGTTATTTGTTTGTTAAAAACAAACTTGTTAAATAATTAAGTTAATCTTGGTGGATCAGTTTGGGTAAGGACAAAGACGTTTTTGGCCCTCCAACCATAGCTCGACTATATTATTTTGTATTCAATTTGTATGAAAAGCTCTTTGCCCTTTAGCCCAAAGCCACTACACTTGGATTTGTAGAGGAACATATTTTTGTCCTAAATTTCTTGGTTCAAATTGGTAACTTTTAAACTCTTGAACACAATATGAAAATGCCACCACATTTAGACAACAGCAACCCAGCTCAACTTGATAGCATATCACCTGTAGATCATTATTGAGTATAATGTAGGTATTCTTTGACAATTTTGGCTCCTATCAGCCACTATGCGTCTATCCAGAACCAAAAGTGATGTTCTTGTGTCTTGTCTTATCATTGCCAACAGTATGCACCCAAAGGTATTTACAAGATAAGACAAGGAAATACAGCTAAAACAATCCTTTCAGCTGAGTTGCTTCAGCCATCATTTTCACTTCCTTAGATTAATTCATTGGTAACAAAGAAGCTGCTGATAAGGAACTACTGGTGTCAGCTTACTGACTACTCAGACACACAAAACCAAAGACATTGTTTTCATTCTACTGACCTGTTTTTAAAACCATAAGCACTGTGTTAACAGTCCATCCTTTAGTTTTGGTTAACAGTGCTGCCCCCACCAAATAGTAATCAAAGTGTGTCTTAAAGCATCAACACTAAAAATACTCTGTCAAATAGCAAATTGGTATTTTAGCTTTCTCTAATATTGACAGTTTGTCTTTGTTGTCTCATTAAATCATCTAACCAGTCACATTGTACATTTAAAAGCATCCACTGTTACATGTCAGAGGTGATTTGAGGTTCACAGAAACTATCCAAATAAGGACAGCCACAGTCGGTGTGGACTTTTTTCTCAGTTGTCTGTGTATCTGGAGCTGTATATCATACTATATTCCTGTTTAACTTAAAGCAAGTAGCTACAATTCTCCGTTATCCAATGGGAATGGACGCTCACATTGCCTTTAACAGCCTCCGACACAAACGAATGCCCTGCTTCCATGAGCGTCAAATCCCGCCGCAGATGGGAATACATTGCAATCAGTTGAAAGCTATTTGCGTCTGTTTATGAACCTGAAGGAGCCTAGGAGCGTCCCAACTGCACGCCTCGGGACCCTGACCAAGCGTCGCTCCTAGACGTTTATGGAGTGAGAGTGTGTTGCCCATAAGGAGGGGCTGCCCTAGCATATTGTTGATGTTGCCAGTTTATGACCGGGCAACTCTCTGTCAGAGATAGTTATTGTTGTGGGACACCTGGAACACATCCTTCTCGGGGTGTAGATGACCCCGAGCCATAAGCGACAACAAATGTGATTCAGTGTCCTCAGCTGTTTAGTCTACCTATTGAAGAATGTTGATTATTACACTCTGAACTAGTTAAAACCTCGAGCTACAGGAGGGTTCTTCAGAATTGATTGTGGCATCTCTACCGTATGGTTAAACCGTGACCCGTGACATGTCTTGTGAATTCTCCTGCCGAAGCTCCAAATAAACCATCAGTGTTTGCCATCAAAGCTCCAGCTCTCCATCGTGTCTCTCTTTGACTCCTGACTCCCAATTGCTTCAGAAGTTTCCCCCACAAACTGGTAAGTGTAATTTCAAATCCACATTTGGACATTGCCTTATCAGAATCTGTGATTGACGGTATCCTAAAATTACCTGTGATACTGAGCGGTTGTGTTTAGTTTTAGGTTGATGAACATTTGGGGATAATAGAGTGGCAAAGTCACGCCCATCTACTTCCGCCCCATGGGACCTTATTTCGGAAAAATAATGTATTGAAGTCAATGGAGAGAGAAAACGTATCTTTCGATCCCTTTTGAATTGTGCCATGAATTACACATATGATGTTCGTCAATCTTAAAAAATCATTTCCATGTCAAAAAAGTCACAGTTTGTCTTAAAACTGTTGAAATATAAGACTATGAAAAATACGCAACTAGAAAGACTACAAATCCCAGAGTCGCGTAAGTGATGTCACAATTGTTTTCCTCCACTAAGAGATAGCTAAGATCAGCGCCATATAGATAGAATCTATCTATATGGCGCTGGCTAAGATAAGATAACTTTAACAAGATGCCTGTGTGCTTAGTACAAGGTTGTTATCATACCAGCAATGGGTCTTGCTCGTTCTTTCGCTTCCCGTCTGATGAAAGGACCAGGAGTGTCTGGATCAAGCTAGCTAGTAGCTAGCACGTTAGTTAGCATTACAGCCTTGTCATTTGTATTAGCCTTAACATGAAGTAACATTAAGTAACCCAAAATGTTAAACAGTAAGAGTAGTAGTCATATTTCGTGAACCCTTTGAAGAGTACTGTCACACCGGTGTGATCATTCTATAATACACAATTTAAGCCCGGGGGAGAAATGCTAACGCTAACGCTAGCGATCTTCTCTACTTCATGCTATCTGCACAAATGGTTACCATTAAACATTACAAAGACCAGGCAGTTCAGAGAGAATCAAAGGAAGGCAGGCAGGCAGCTTTGCATGACTTTCTTCAGGACGTGTTTCATTGTGGTGATAGTGAGGGTAGTCAATCGTTTTGTTGACAAGACAGTAGTGACGGCCATCTTGGTGACGTGTGTTGTTCTGTGAGACCAGAGATGTAGTTCATTGAGCGTTTCACACAAACAAATGTGTTACTTCACAGTTTTACGACACATTATTATTTTTTTGACTTGCAAAATTATCTTTTAAATTGACAAACATCATATGTGTAATTCGTGGCACAATTCAAACGGGATCGAAAGATAATCTTTCTCTCTCCATTGACTTCAATACATAATTGTTCCGAAATAAGGTCCCATGGAGGTCCACCGGAAGGGGAGGGACTTCGCCACTCTATAAACCCAGGGGATCAGTGTCTGGGGACTTTGTCCTGGCTGATTTTCTCTGTGTATGCTGCTCGGGACGTATGTGCCATACAAGCATGCACAGCTCATGTTCGGAGAAATCTTAAAGAAAGGCATCAGCAGAGGTGTGGACTCGAGTCACATGACTTGGACTCGAGTCAGACTCGAGTCACCAATTTGATGACTTTGGACTCGACTTGACAAAATCACAAAACACTTGCGACTCGACTTGGACTTGAACACCAATGACTCGGGACTTGACTTGGACTTGAGCCTTCTGACTTGAGGTGACTTGATAATTTAATTCAGGGGTCTCCAACACGCCGATCGCGAGATGCCGCGAGAAGAGCAGACTCCCGTCGGGGAGAGCAGAATCTTCAGCCGCTGCAACTCTTGCTGAGAATCCATGCAGGCAGGGGCGGGACTTTATTTTGCTGAGCCACCATGCGGCCAATCATATGCGAGGACACACTAGGATTATACCATTATGTGAAAGAAGGGTGGGGGGCAGATGCTCCAAAGACAGCAGGTGTAGTGGTACAGGCCAGCTACACAGAGCGACATGGAGACGGGGAGCCGGATTTAAATGCAAGCGCGTCGGAAAAAGTCAAGAAATCTGCGAAAACCGAAAAAAGAAGCAGCATCTGGCTGCATTTCAATGATATTGGAGAAAGCAAAGCTGAGTGCAGGATTTGTAAAATGAAAATAACCTTCAGAGCAGGGTTTTGTTTTGGTAACCACTCAGGATTTATTGTCAGAGGTGGGAGAAGTTCAGATCTTGTACTTGAGTAAAAGTACAAAAGTATTAGCATCAAAATATACTTAAAGTACCACCTGCAGAGGGATCTAGATTCAGGTGGTCTTTTCCCCGTAGAGACCGCCTCGCTGCACATTATCCCTGGCATAAAGATAGATTGTGGGTCCCTTATAACATGTTGTAAACAGTGGAAATAAACATTCTGGTAACCTTAACATCAGGGATCTTATCCATTAAACTCCTTCTGAATCAAACCGTCACGGTAGCCTAACCTTACTGATCCCTCTTAAAATAGAAGACAAACACCTGACTTTACCAGCAGAGAGAAAATGGATTATTAAATTATTAATGTGACTAATAAAGAGCAGTTTGATTATTATTCTGTTGATCGATGTCATTACATTTGTTGAAAAGCACATAAGGACTTGTTTAAGACTAGTTTTGTCAAACAACTTTGACTTGACTTGAACTTTCCCATCCTGACTTGAGACTTGACTCGGACTTGAGCGCAAAG